TCATCACTGTAATGCCTAATTAGCCCCATGAGTTTAGGATCGGTAGAATCAACCAGCCTGCAAAGTGGTAGGTACTGATGGTGCACCCACTAACAGGCTTAGAGAATAGACTTCTTGCACCATTCCCAAATCCTGCCTTCTCTTATGGCGCTGGATTTGGCTGTGTAGCTTCAAGGCTCAAGGCACAGTGTCTGCTCTATAGATGTTTGATGAGCCAGTAAGAAGCACAGAATAAAATGCCATGCAAAACCAGAGTGGCAAGTGGTCACTGTAGCTGAGATTGAGGTTAAATTTACTTCTAAATCTTCTCTGTCAACAAGTTATTTAAGGCTTGCCTTTATATTTTTATCCTTCCTGTTGGTTTGACTTTCTGGATCATTACAGCAGATTAATGATAAATATACTAGTAAGATAGACTTCCTGCCAGTGGTAGGAAACGTATTTTAGAAACTTGTTCCTCTACCAGATTATTTCAGTGAGAATTAAGGTTTCCAAGAAACAAATCAGGCTATTTATATATTAGATGAGAAATGGTGAGGATAGATTTTACTTTTTAAATTTCAGCAAAACCAAGAGTAACTTGTAACTGTGCCATTAAGATGTAGTCTGGAGAAAAATTAGCAGGTGTGAGTACATTTCTAAGTACCCATCAGTTTAGCTTGGTGATGAGTGAAAATGCAGGTTTTTTACATTCCATATTAAAAAAAAAGATGCTGGAATAATCTCAGCAGCATCTTAATTCGGCACTCTTTATGGTGTGCTTGCATTTGCAATATGCGCAATCTCTACTGATGTTCACAGGGTAATGTAAGTATTGACAGTTGGTAATTTCTCTAAAGAAGTAAGACCTGTGCTTCAGGGAGCCAATTAAGGGAGTGGTCTCCTCCCTGAGTGATAATTGTATATGGCAACTACAATCAATAAATACTTTTCAATTCTAATAATTTGAATCTCACATTGACACAAACGTGACCCTTTGCTAATGTGACCACTTCGCAATGAGAGAGAGGTATGTTGGTTAAATTCATATGACTGCAGCTTCCTGGAAAGAAAATTTAGAATAATAAAGCCACAGACAACTGCAGAGAAAACTCCAAACATACCACAGTTGACCCAGCTTTTAACAGTATCCACTGAAAGAAGCACAGAGAGAAAGAAAGCAGAAAACCAAAGCCATTAATTCATATGAAAATCCCAAAACTATCCCAGTTGGATTAAGATCACGGAAGATTGGGATTATACAGTTATGCCTGATAGTTATGGTTCTGAAAATTAGGTTCTAAAGCCTCTAGGAGTTTTTTGCAGCACCACTACATTTGAAGTCTTAGACTTGATGGCTTTTTTTACTCCAGGATTGTTCTCCATGTTTGGATTTGCCCTATCCACTGAGATGGTGACTAACAAATGTAGTAAGACAGATAGAAAAGCTCTTTAGACCTCTTTTGGGGATTCAGCAAGAGGGAGACTGGCATAGATTGGTTTACAATTTCAAATGGAATGACATCACACCTTTGCCTTCCTTACCAATTCTTTTGGATATACAACCCGCAAGTAGGGAAAAACTCTGTGGTGTTGATCTGCTTGTGCTTTTAAGATAGAACATGGGGGGAGAGGGAAGCAGATAGGAGGGAAGGAGGGAGGGAAGGACAGAGGGAGAAAGGGCAAGCTGGTTAATGTTTTTCTTTCAGCTTGTTTTCTATGAGTCACACCACTAAGTATTTGCATTAGCAGGTCTCCTGCTGCTGCTACATCGTTCAGCTGTTTGTTTAGTTGCTGTGCCTCTTGAAAAGTCCAGCAACACTGAATTTTTATACATCCTTCTTGAACTTTATTAATGAATTAAATCTTTAAGAAACAAAATGTTCCCATCACTGTTCTTCTACCTGCAGAAGTAGCAGTGCCTCCAGTCTCAGTGCTATTACTCACTCAAATAAAAGGTTACAGAACCAGACCAATATTTATTATTACTTCATTTTATGTTGTCTCCTGACCAAATTGTATCAGAAAAACTGAAAATAACAACATAACTGGCATGTCACAATAATCAAGTTTAAAGTTCAAAGCTTCTTATTCCCACTTGCGAATTAAAAGAAAAAAGTTGCTTAATCATAATTTTTGCAAACACAAACACTGAGTATAACTTGACCAAATCACTTTGAAAGAGTTGTATTTCTTTCTTTAGGTATGAGACAAATATTGTCCAGAAACATCAAATCAGAAGTTATATAAAGTAAGACTGAGATTGCCTTATTCTTGCAAAATTGGGTCTTCGAAAAAATCTTGTTACTGACTTTAACAAAAGTAAGGCTGTGAGCAAAACTCTGTCATGGTCAGCATGAAGAGAAGCTGCTAAGTCTAATTAAAGAAAAGGAAGAACTGCAGACAGCTTATTTTCTCTTTATGACGATAAACAGCAATTTGCTGCTTGATGATCTTTCTCTTTTGCTTATTCCCCAGCATTCTGAATTTCTTTAATAGTTTGCTTTCAACTAGCCTTTTTTTTAATCTTTTCAAGAGTGCCAGCAAAAGATATGCTAATTGAATACAAGCCACAGACCTGCCCTACATGAAAAGGCAATAAAAGCATGCAAACATACCTGCTCACAGAGTAAGGTAGCTCAGACAGGAGATCCACTTTATGACAGGGACAGGGTCTCAAGAGGAGTGCTTGTAAAGGAAGCTCTTCAAAACAGCTCTGTATCTTCTACATAAGATGTTTGTTTTGGTTTTCCTCCTCTTTAATCAAAACAATGACTGGTGTGAGAAAAGCAGGTGTTTTAAGCTTTGTCTTGGTTGTAAAAGAAACAGCACATTAAGAGAAACTTTTCTTCGTTGCAGGTGTGTGATCTACGCAACTTTCTCTTGGTCTGACCCCAAACGGCGAGTGTGGATAAATGGTATCTTCTTACTTATGACATCTGTTCCCTGTGTGAATTCAGACATGTGTGTCCTGACTTCAATAACAAAAATGCTTTTTTTCTAGCTACTTGTTATTCTTGCTACACTAAGATAACTGAGAGAGTATGAGCTATAGCTCTTGTCTATCTTCAGCAGAACTATGGGATAATTAAAGGACTACTCAGTTATTTCTATGCAAATGAACTGCCTAGGTGAAATTTGAAACACAGCTTGCTCTTTAGAACATTTCTCACTCGTAGTGATCTGCTAGAAGACAAGAAGTTAGCATACACAAATGTTTAGTTGCCCAATTTAATTAATCTGGAGACTTCTATGTAGAGCGTCTGTCTTCCACTTGCCACATGGGCATATTTTTTGAAGTGACTGAAAATATTGAACAATTCTTTGAAGCTGGAAGTTTAACCTACCTGCTGTACAGTTACTGCTTCATTCTAGATCCATTCTTGCCCTGTATGCCACTTGGGCTCAAGATGGCTTTCAGAGAAGAGACTTCTAGGACAACTCTGGAAGAGAAGGTCACCCTCTGTATAAAAAATGGCAAGGGACTGCAACAATTTATGTACTACAACTTATATTCTTTTCTGGAGCATGGTATTGATGTTTAAACCTCTTTAGGTACACACAAGGAGCACCAGTGATCAGTATGCTCTACTCAGAGTGCCCTTCCTCATCTCTTATTCTACAGTGGGTGAAACACATGTGCTAAAACAAAGCTGCTCCTCTGCAGTGGCTCAGGCACAGTAAGTAAGAGTGCTATAACTGCCTGTTAATTAAAACAGTCCTTCAGCTGAAGTGCTAAAATACTATCTGGGCTCTGAAAATGCATGATTTTATCCCTGCTAACAATCCCATGAAGAATTTGCTTCAAATTTACATGAGCCTATGCTTTCCTTTGGTATAAAGTTTTTGCCTAATCGTATGACCTGTGTTCTTTCCCTGAGGTTTCTTCAGTTCCAGCTCTGCACTGCCACACAGCTTCTCAACAGCTTGGGGAGCTGCATGATCTGACAGGGAGTGGATGCAGAGTTCTGAACAAACACATTTTTTAAAAACTGCAAGAAATATCAGGGTAGTGATGACATGTGGTCTAATTTATCCTCTGGTCACTTAATGCAGATAATGGAGGCCGGTGACAGAGAGTGCGTGCCCTGGGCTATACACTGGTTCATTACACACACGTGGCTCCCTTTAAGTTTAATGTGAATTTAACGTACCAAGGAAAGAGAGGACATACCTTTCAGGGTGAGTGCACGCTCTCAAAACGGCTAATGAACTCCCACAATAATGCCTGTTCCTAAGATAGCTCCAAAGACTGAATATCAATAACTAAGCACTTTTATGACTGATATTTATGCTTCAAGCATTCATCTCAACCAATAGCTCTTTACATCATTAACATCACCCTGAACATCAGATGTGTGGGGAGCATTCCTGCTTTGAGGCCTAGTGTTTCTTGCGCTACCTTCAAAGAGATGCCCGGTTCAGAAAGGCACTAAGGCACAGCCCTCACAGGGCCTGCTGACCGCCAATATTGCTCTTCGGGTCACTTTGGCTTTGCTCACACCTCAGACTTTAGGTGCAGGTGCCCCTCTGGGTCCCCCCTCCGAGGCTGAACCCCGCGCTGGAGCCTGAAATGTTTAATGCGCCAAGCGGAGCCTCCCGTATGACTCTCCTGCCGCCGTGCGCGAGCGCTGAGGGGCCGCGCCGCTCCCAGCCGCACACGCTTCGGCTGCCGAGCCAGACCCGCGCTCGCCTCTAAAAATAGCGCGGCTGAGCTATAAATAGCAGCGCCTGGAGCGGCTCCGGAGTGCCCCCGCCAACGCAGCCAACGCCGGCGCTGCTGCTGCGGGAGGAGAGCGCCCGAGGGGAAGGGCCCCGAGGGAAACGGGAAGGGATGGATGGATGGATGGATGGATGGATGGATGGATGGATGGATGGATGGATGGATGGATGGATGGATGGATGGATGGATGGATGGATGGATGGATGGATGCGAGGGCGTGGATGGCCGCGGGGCAGCGAGCCAGGGGCGGGCACGGCTGGGGCAGGGCACAGCGCTCCTCCCCGGGCGGCCGCGGGCACGGGCTGATCCGCGGGTGCTGCTGTGTGGGGCCGGGGCCGCGGCACCTCGGCGGGCTCCCTCCCTCCTTCCCTCCTCCCCTGCCTCTCTCGGCCTGCGGGAGGGCAGCGGGCGGCCTGGAGCCAGGAGCAGAGCCCTTCCAAGGGGAGCCCAGTGATACCAGGGGCCATAGGCACCTACGGGGAACAGTGGGAACTCTCTGGATGAACACCGGGAAGCCCTGTCCCCCGTGAGGCTGACAGAGCACAGGCACAGCTTGCCCGGTGAGCTGTCCGTCCTCGTAGGAAACACCGAAAGCCGCCCGGGCACGGCTCTGCGCCTCCAGCTCTGGGTGGCCCTGCTACAGCAGGGGGCCGGACCAAATAACCTCCAGAGATCCCTTCCCGCCTCCAGTGCCCTGTGATCCTCTGAAATCCCGTAGAGCCTCGCTCGGAAAAAGCAGAACTGAGGATTCTCCTTCACGTAAGGCTTCCAGGAGTGTGCTAAAATTTAGTAAGAGCTTTCTACTCTGGTGTGTTGCTGGTGCTTATGGTTTTGTGGTGAAGGTTTCTTAGGGCAAACTTTGATTGCAGCTAGCAGGCCTCCAGCGGAGAGCTGCCGGTGCCTTAAGAGAGCGAGCAGCAGGGAATTGCATTTAATACCTCCTCCTTTCACTTCTGACGTTCTTTCTGCAAGGAACAGCAGGGCTCCCCTACTATGCTGTATGCTCTTGCTCTGTTAACTAATTTCGCCTTGTAACAGGAATGCTCTTGCTTGCACAGTGAAAATAATAATAAATAAAAATCCCGTGTCAGTAAAACCTGTTACCTTCATAGTGCTGTAGTTTTAAACAATGTTCTCTCCTACTGAATGCTCTCTTGCTTTCTGATCTAACCTGTGCTTTGCACCATTTGAGAAGACAAGAAAGAGCACATAAGAATCAGAAGAATTTTCCCATCCCACTGTAGGTCATTTACGGAGAAGAAGATCTGAGTCTCCATGATGAAGCCAGCCAGTGTTTTGCTGTAGTAGTCAGTGCCACCTTGCAAATGTTAATACATCTGAAGATACTCAGACCTCCTTCATAGGGATTCATTGTAATCAGATACTTTGGTTGTTTGGGGTTTTTTTAATGAACTGCTAGTAGAAAGTGCCTTTTTTCAGAAAATAAATTTAGTTGCAATGGTCCAATACAGCTGCACATTTTTTTCAGAGTTCATTTTGTTAAGTCTTTAGCAGTCTATTGGAATTTACCAACAGCAGCCAACAAAGGCCCTACAGCTAAGCCCTCAAGTTATTTGAAGAAACTACTTGAGTACATTGTTTTGGAATACAAGATAGAGGTGTGGCCTCTCTGTTGCTTTCACAAACGTGCCCATATTTCTTCATACCTTCTGCTTGGAAACACTAGTGAGCTTCTAGAGGATCAAATTGTGACTTTATTGAGGCCGATGTCAACATCATTGTGGACTTTAGTGGGGGCTGGAGTAGGAACCAAATTTACAATTGTGATTAAAAATCACAAGTAAAATGCACTTGCCCATTTACAATCATTATATATTTTTAAGTGCTTTATTGGGCCAGTTGTAAAGGATAAAAATGGGAAACAGGTTTTATGAAGTGTTTTTTCTCTCTACAGTTTTTTTTAATGTATTACAAAGAAATAAAAATATGCAGAAAAGGTTTCCTGATTCTTCTGGACTACATAGTATGAAAATATTAAGAAATTGCAACAATATAAAGAAGTTCCCATCTAAATAAATGAGATTGTTATGAAGTTATAGAAACAAGCTCATTCATACACAAAGAGCTGTAGTTGCCCAAAAATGCAGAGTTCAAAGATCTTTTTTAAGACACACCAAGGAATATGCAGGTACAGCTAGGCAAATAGAGACTTCAAGATCTGGCTGGTGCTGGCAGCCTGATCCTTTAGGATAATGAGAAAGTCTTTAACTCTTTTAGTTATTTACAACTGTTTGGCCCCATTCTGCATGGCAAGTGAATTCCTACTGAAAGCTTTTATGTTTGTCACTCAGGAAAAACACATAAAAATACCATCCTTTTCATCCTGCAACAGGTGATTAAGCCAAGATCTCATAAACACATGATGAAAACTTTACCATGTATAATTCCCCCAAAATTTTGCTGATCTCAGCTTTGGCTGAGTTCATCATTAATAGCTGATAACATGTTTTCCCCTGTCCCCCAATTCCACATTAACTTTGTGACAGTGCATCTTTAGAGAATTTGGCTGTAAATCACAGGTTTGATTTTATCTCAGCACATTTAGACATCAGTGGCTGTCTTTAGTTACTTAATTTAAAACTTTGAAGTTGTTAATTTGGCCTCATTGGTTGAAGTGTCACAGTATACAGTTCACAGGAGTACTTGGAAAATTTTAAAATGCTGAGTTAATACTACTTGCCACTTCAGAGAAATTGAAACTCTTTCAAGGCAGCTGCTGAAGTGTTTGCTAGTACAAAAATGTATTGATAAATACTGAGATCTGTCATCCTTTTAATTGTCTTTAAAAATGACACAAACTGATGTATCAACTACTCCATAGCAAATTTTAATACTTACTGGGAAGAATAATTAATCTCTTCCTTTATTCAGAAGGTAACTTCTGGGTGTTAGAAGATGTAGTATGAGAACAAGAACGGATTGGGTTATGTATTCAATTGCTGAAGGGTTTTTTTCAGGTACTTCAAAGTATCCTGGTGGTAGGATGCTTAACTAGATGGACTGCAGTTATGATACAAAAGAACATTATTTTATTGAGATATGTCACAGAAAGCTCAGCTTCTTGAACAGACAGTGCTTGTACCCTCAGTGCCTTGTACTGGCTCTGTAGTTATCCCCTGAATCGTGCTTCATACAGCCAGATATGGGTTTTTCCCTTGGCATTTAGGAACAGAAGTATCACTGTTCCTGCTATCCTTGTGCTGGAGGCTTTATGACTAGATGGAGCAGAGCTGTTTTATTGGCTTTGGGCCACCAGGAGCTTTTGCATATTCTGAAGAAATTCCCAGTTCACTGGAATTTCCAGTGCTTCACCCTCCCGTGTCGCTGCTGTGGCCACACTTGTGGCTGATGGTGACCTTGCTTTGTGACACCTGACACTCCTTATGCCTCACCAGTGCTGAAGGTGCTGGACTGAGCTTCCTGGCCACCCTGCCAAGTGCACAGCAGGCCCCTGACGTGACACAGAGAAAATAAGAAGTTCCCAGTTTTTTCTTTCCCCTCTTCAGCCATCAGTCTGTTATTTCTGTCTGGTGCAGCTGCTGCAGGAAGAGGCCGTATTACCTCTGTGAACTGCAGAAACTTGTAGCATACTGCTGTGAGCCAGCAGGTTTCAAATGGGATCTGCAGTTCCTTGTGAAGATCTTATGTTCAAGATGGTCACCTTTGACCTACCACATGGCACATCAGGGATGGTTTACAGTTCTGGAGGTTAAAAAATGGAAAATAGAAATAATACTATAATACTAAACAGCATGACGATGTAAAGGGACGAAATTATTTTCTTGTTGAAATCCTGACAAAATAAATGATACACTTATTTTTGTATTTAATTTATGCAATACTGTAATTTCAGCAACTGTTCTGAACACTGGTTTTATCTTACAATGCTTTATACCTGACAGAAAGAGGGAAAATTTAGCAATTTGTCACCGTATAGAACAGAAGTCGGCTTCAAAATTTCTTGCTTTGTCAGGCAATAACATTCCAATGTCATGTCATGTAGAAAAAGTCAAAGCATGTGCATGAGCAGAGGAAATCCAGTCAAGTAATGGAAAAAAATCTAAAACTCAAGGGAGAAGAGACAGCAATTACCAGCTGCTCTAGTTAAATGTTTCTTTCTGTGCTCCCTTTCAATCTTTTGGTTTAATTTATTTTTAAGGTACATTCTTAATTCTGAATTAATGTAGTTCACACATGTCCTGCCATACCTTGGCATGTAAACACTAGGATAAAATTAATGGAATAAGTTGTGTGAAGGTCTGTTAATTAATAGTGAATTTTCTCTGTTCTGTGGTAGGTCTTTTTCCCTACTAGGCATTATTTCCAGTTTCAACCTTTATAGGCAGGAGGAGATCAAATAGTAAATAAAACATACTACTAGACAAGTAGAGTTGGGGTTTCTTCTGTTTGTAGATCAGTAGCCCTGATGCAGCCTGTGGCTTTTTATTGCTTAAAACAATGGAGACGAGTTATCAGCCAAGCTATAATGACAGAAGAAACTGACTCTGTATAGTTTTTTCTCATTTATAACTTACATTGTAAATAACATAGTTTATAGGAAGGCTGTAAAGTGACGAAACACTTTGCCAGTGTGGCCCTGCATCTGACTAGAAGTTCATTTAGTCAGATATGTCTCAAGTACTGGCCATAAGTAGCTGTCTCGGAAAGTCTAAGAACACAACAAGAACTCAATACTTTCCCTTTTTCCTTTCTCAGCCTTTTGGAGAAAAGTGGCCTTCAATCTTTGGCTGACCAGTGTGGTATACACATAAACCTCAGGGTTTTCCAACACCACCCATCTCATGTTGCAGTGCTTATTTGTTCTTAAATTGTTTCTCGTGACTGGCTGGCTGTGCTAGTGCTTAAATGTGGCAGATCAAGACTCATTTTGTGAGGCACATGTCTGCACAGAGTGAAGGACAGCTATTGCACTGAGAAACTTTAAACCTCTTTTAACTAGACAAAACAGATTGGAAGGGGAAAAGGTACACCTCATGGTCTTTCATTCTCTAAGTTAGGCACTAATTATAAACATATTCCTAAAATCTGACAGTACATTGCTGCGCAGTCACAACAACAAAACCCTTCATAGCAATTTGAAGCTCAAGGAAATTTCCATTGCCACAGCACTCGACCTTCTTCACAAGGAATAGAGAGAAGACATTTGCTTGCCCTGGGGGAGAGCAGAGCATGCTGATGGAGTAGGCTGCACATCCTTGGCTGGATGCTGCCACAAACCTCCCAGGCAGCAGAGAAAGGGATACTCCAAGATCTAGACCATGTCCAAGCTGAGTTTTGGGCATTGGTAGAAGGGAAAGACTGTATTGCAGTCAATGTTCTAAAGTCAATGTTCTCTCTGCTAAGAAGAAAAACAGATTTTTAGAAGAAATGGGGGAGATGGGGGTAGATGTGATTACAGGGCTTGAATTTTTAAAGGTCTCTAAAATAACTGAAGCAAAGTGCCAGCTACGAGTTCATATCCATCAGCAGAGACAGCACAAATTTATTTATATCTTGATTTTACCTGCCCAGAAAGGGGCCATTTTTCTTGTTGATAAATGTGAAGTGTTTCACTTACATTGTGCTTATTTTAGAAACCCAAAAAAGTGTTCCTGCCTTTATTAAAATAAGTACTTGACTGTGTTGCACTGAAATCCATGGGCTTCCACAGCATGGCTGTGTACTTGAGAGGTAGCTCAGTTACTTTCTCAGGCAATCATGTAATTTGTCCTTCATCA